GCCTCCTGAGTAGCTGGGATGACAGGCATGAGCCACCAGCGCTCGGCTGAGCTTTTTTTTTTCAAGGCTAGTGTTCTACCACTTGAGCCACAGCTCTACTTCCTGCTTTTCTAACTTCAAGATAACCAGTCTTGACTCAGCCTAGCATTCATTGCCCATGTTGAGCTTCTTGTGGCTGGAGACATGTAGAATGTATTCTTTGGACTGCGCTTGAGGGATGCTTCCGCCTTGTTAGGTATAGTTGTTTTGTTCCGTTTCATTGTAGTGCTCTGTTATCAGTCCATTTGCAGATGTTATTTTAATTCCTTCATGTTTGCCAGTACTTAGGACCTTATTTACTCTGTAAAAACTGGAGTGTCAGCCATGCGCTGGTGGCTCACGCCTGTAACCCTAAGCTACTCAGGAGGCTGAGCTCTGAGGATCACGGTTCATTCACAGCCAGCCTGGGGCAGGAAAGTCCTTGAGACTCTTACCTCCAATAAAACCATCAGAAAACTGAAAGTGGCGCTGTGGCTCAAGTGGTAGAGTGCTCACCCTGAGCTGATGAGCTGAGGTTCAGTGCCGAGGCCCTGAGTTCAAGCCCCATGAATGACAAAAAATAACAAAAAAAAAAACCCTCAAAAACAAAAACTGGAGCGTGGTAAGTGGCTATTTTTTCTCCTGGAGCACTCTGCTGCTTTGGGGCCTTTCTTGCTTCCACTGTGACAGCCCAGTTCTTCCTGAAGCATGCTCGCAGGAAGCCAGGCCCGTCAGAACACGCTTCCCAGATAGACTAAGCCCCATGGAATCACTTCATACTGAAGAGCCCAGAGCCAAGTTAGACCGCTGGGGAGAGAGGGCTACCATGAAATGGGTGGGATTACCAAGCTTGGTTTTCTGATTGGGATGGGGGAGAGGAAGCCCTTATGTTTAATGGTCCAGGAAAACCCGGAGCATAGACAAGAACTTGAAGCCTTCAGCATCTTTGGTGACCCCCGATCCTGAGGGTGGCTGGTGGTCCCATTAGGTCTTTGAATAACCGATATAAAGCACTGTGAATTTAAAATCACTTAGCCCATTATTCCAGAGAGTAACTTTATGGGTTATCTTGCTGAACTTTGGTCTCAAGAGAACAAAAGGCAAGTCTCCAAGAAAGAAAGCTCTGATGAGCTCACAGAAATTCTTGAGTTGTACCTTTGAACAGCCGAATGGATTCCTGACCCTTTGATGTGGTGGGGAGAAAAGCAAGTCACAAATTATGCTGACAAGCAGGTGAGATCCAACCTAGTTAGACGAGCGTGGTGTTTATTTTAGGATTGCATGTCATTTTGCATACCACACATCAGACTTGTGACAAATCTGAGGTGGGTATGTTTTCTCTCTAAATGGAAACAATTGATTTTTCTTTCAGGTATAGAAGCCAAGAAAAATGTGGTGGTAACTCAAGCAGACCAAATAGGCCCTCTTCCCAGCACTTTGATAAAAACTGTGGACTGGTTGCTTGTGTTTTCCCTATTCTTTTTAATTAGTTTTATTATGTATGCTACCATCCGAACCGAGAGCATTCGATGGTTGATTCCAGGACAAGAGCAGGAACATGTGGAGTAGGAATGGACCTATGGGAGAAAGAGGAGCAACGAGGAATTTCCATCCTTCATCCAAGAAACTACGGCTGTACTTTCCGGTGGACTGCTGACTTCCAACTTGAGTCACGTTAGAAGAATCATGCGTTTGCTGAACTACTGAATGGATAAAAGAAAATTCAAACTGGTGTTTTTTAACTAGTATTACAAAAAGAAATAGAAAGATTCTCATGAGAATTTCCTGTTCTTGCTTATACTACTTGAACACGATCTGATAGTTTGAACAATCCAGTTTGAAACATGAAGATCTGTTTTGGTAAATAGTGAGAATGACACTATGGTTCTAGATAGAAGGCAGAAATAAGAAGTTCAGACCATAGTTTTTTTGTGTGTGTGTGCCACTGCCAGTACTATGCCTTGAACTCAGGGCCTGGGTACTGCCCCTTAGCTTTTGTGCTCAAGGCTGGTGATACCCTATCACTTGAGCCTCAGCTCCACTTCCAGCTTTTTAGTTGTTCACTGGAGGTAAGAATCTCACAGACTTTCCTGCCTGGGTTGGCGTTGAACCACAATCCTCAGATCTCAGCCTCCTGAATAGCTAGGATTATAGGTATCAGCCACCAGTGCCTGGCCAGGTGACAGTTTTATAACAGACCTAGCTCCTCTCGTATGTGTAATAAGGCTGGTCTCCTGCTTGTTTACAGTTTCTGTTTCTCTTTTAGAGTTGATAAGCAGGAACTTACTGAGCCTTGAAATTCCTGATGCTGTGGTAGATGCAGAGGTAGTCAAGAAAGACAACATGTAACCTGTACAAACTCTTTGAAAGGCTGTTCCTTATACTCAGATACAAAATAGTTGATTACCTCATGATAAACTACTAGTATACTACTATTTCAGAGCAAGGAAATGTGTCTTTCTTTAGATGCTCTAAGTTTTACAGAAATTGAACCTTATTTCTGTTAATGAGTCCTCTCAGTAGTACATGAGGGAAAATTGGCAGCTTTATGCTGTGTATAGCTGTGACCAGGTGTCCCCTGGCAGGAGGGGACTGTGGCTCAGAATTGGACCGTGTCCCAAGCTGAAGCTAAATGACTCGCCCAGGCGTGGTACCCAGGCAGTAAGCATTAAGTGGGTAAAGCCAAGATCTATCTATACCTTCACATGTATGTATACCTGCAAGGACAAGTCTACCAAAAGGAAAAAATCCTTAGTGACTCCATCGCTCAGTGTCTTCCTGTGAGTTCCTGCTTCTGTGTTCTGTGACTTATCTATACTGTTTCTCCTGTCCATACCACTGCCCTGGGAGATCAATACTGTTAAATATCCTCATGGGTAAACAGAGGCCCAGGTAACTTGCTTTTGGTCATGTAGCTTTGTGTGGTGGGACCAAGCTGCAAACCTAAGCTTTTGTTGTTGTTGGTGGTGGTGGCGGTGGTCCCTGAGTTCTTTTGCTCAAGGCTAGTGTTGTACAAGTTTGAGCCAAAGTGCCACTTTCAGTTTTCTGGTGGCTAACTGGAGATTTGAATCTTACGGACTTTTCTGCCCAGGCTGGCTTTGAACTACGATCCTCACATGGTAGCCTCCTGAGTAGCTAGGATTACAGGTGTGAGCCACTGGCATCTAGCTACCCTAAGCATTCTTTTTTTTTTTTTTTTTTTTTTGAGAAGTTGAATGGAGAGTCTTCATTAGAAAGCTGGCAAGTGGACACATGTCCTCCAAAAATTTGCAGCCTTGAATGTACTTAATACTGTTAGGAAACTGAGCCACAAAGGTAGTAGTAAAGAAAGAACAGAAAAACAATCTCAACAAACCAGATCAACTCAGAGTTGAAGGCGGATGCCACGACACACGAGGCATGCACCTAAGCATTCTTACTCCAGAACTTCCAAGAGGAATGGCAGCATGGCTGACTTTGTGCCATCGCCAGACTGTCCAGTGTGTTTATCTCTAGACCATAATCTTTCTCCTCTGTGTTCTAGTCAATAATGTTCTAATTTAGTTCCTTCATTTTTCATTTAAAATGTGTCTCTTAAATTTTTTTTTTTATTGATGTAAGTTCTCTGTAGCCCAGGTTTGCCTTGAACTTACTATTCTGCCTCAGTCTCTTGAGTCCTGGATTACAGTAGAGCACCAATGTGCACACCCACACAGTACCTTTATTATTTACTGCTTAATGATTTTTTTTTTTTGGGTTGCTTGTGGGTCTTGAACTCTGGCCTGGACACTGTCCCTGAGCTCTTCAGCTCAAGGTGAGGGCTCTACCACTTGAGCCACAGTGCCACTTCTTGTTTTCTGAGTGGTTCATTGGAGATAAGCCTGGGCTCCAGGCTTTGAACTGTGATGCTCATATCTCAGCCTCCTGAGTAGCTAGGGTTTACAGGCATGAGCCACCGGTGCCTGGCTTCCTTAATGGATTTCAAATAATGCACTGTTGCTATTAATTATTCTAAACCTTACCTACACCATAAGTTTTTTTTTTTTGTGGGGGGGGTGGGGAGGAGGAAGAGGTAGAGTCTCGATGTGAAGTCCAGACTGGCTGTGAACACAAACTGGAATTTTCCTGCATTTCCCTCCTGAGTGGAATTACAGGCTTGAGCCACCATTTTTCTGAGCAAATTTCAAGAGAGTGTGTGTGTGTGTGTATTTTGGGGGAGGGGGTCATAAACACCCAAAGCAAGACTTACTGTGGCCTTTAATTTCATTCCTAGAATCAGCCTGGGAGGAGACCAGTGTCTTACATGGCGGTGACCTCTGGCTAGGATTACCAGTGAGCATTTCCTCAGCTTTTTTTGTAGCACTCCACTACTTGAGCAGCAGTTCCATTACCAGCTTTTTGGTAGTTAATTGGAGATAAGAGAATCATGTACTTTGCTGCCCAGACTGGTTTTGAACTCCAATGGGATTACTGCTGTGAGACAAAGGTGCAAGGCTTAAAAAAAAAATCTACTGAAGCATACACACACACACACATATACTCTCAAAACTGCCAGTGTCATTAAATTGTAATTATCAGTACAAACAAAGTGATGTAAGTTAGATTAAAAGCCCTGATGTTTTAAAAGGTTATGTTGGGACTGAGAATGTGGCCTAGTGGTAGAGTGCCTGCCTAGCATGCATGAAGCTCTCAGTACCAAATTCAATTCCTCAGTACCAAATAAACAGAAAAAACCAGAAGTGGCTCAAGTGGTGGAGTGCTAGCCTTGAGCAAAAAGCAGCTCAGGGACCGTGCCCAGACCCTGAGTTCAAGCCACAGGACTGCCAAAAAAAAAAAAAAAAAGTGCAGGCGTTGATGTCTCACGCCTGTCATCCTAGCTACTGAGGAGGCTGAGATCTGAGGATTGTGGTTCGAAGACAGCCCAGGCAGGAAAGTCCTTGGAAGTGGCTCTGTGGCTCAAAAGTGGTACAGCACTGGCCTTGGGCACAAAAGCTCAGAAATAGCGCCTAGGCTCTGAGTTCAAGCCCCATGACTGACAACCCCCTACCCCCCCCCAAAAAAAAAGGTTACATTTTGACCATTGATAAAGTAGTGGGCTTGTGTTTGCACACCTGTCCTCCCAGCCCTATGGAGGCGGAGACAGGAAGATCCCGAGTTTGAGGCCAGTTCGATCGACACACAACACAAACTCCTGGGTCAAAAAAAACAAGACAGAATGAAAGTTGAAAAGCTCAGTGGATTAGCGAGGGCCCAGGGACCCTCAGGAATATCCTGCAGTGGAAGGCAAGGAGACCAGACTTGGAGAAAATGCGAGAATATCATTTAAACAGAATGTGCCCTGGGGCCTCCCAACCCGGGCTGGGGGGGGTGGCGGGGTGGAGACGCACTTACTGGAGCAGTCTCAGGCCCGCCGCCTGCACCAGGGCCACCGATCCATCAGAACTCGCGGGGTGCAGCCGGGTCTGCGGGGCGCAGCCGGGTCTGCGGTGTCGAGAGCCAACGCGCGCACGTGTGCTCCACGTGGACGGCCTGCCAGTGTCTGCGCCTGCGCACACGGCCTCCCCCAGCCCCGCCCCGCGCACGCTGATGACGACGCGAGCCCTCGGGGTCCGCA